TGAAAAGCATTCTTTTATTTTTTTTGCTAAATGCACTGAATAGTATTAGTCACCTGGATACTCTGTCAGCTGATGGCTACGTATCTGTTGAGCATCAAACAGTACAGAAGAAGTACTGAGTGTTCTGTTGAGCAAACTCAGTACAGAAGAAGTCCTGAGTGTTTGTATTCATCCTGGGACTGCTTTTACTTCAGCTGTAGCAACAGTATTCCAAGTCAAGTTTCACTGGGCTATTACTGCAGAGATTACTTGTAAAGGGCTGCTTTGTTCCAAGCTGCTAATGATGCAGTCAAGTGTTGCCAATATTCACGTTCTTCAAACAAAGTGTTTTTGAGATGGCCTCACAGGCTTAAATCAGCAGCTCACCTGCAAGGAGTCTCTCACCCCAAACCAGTCAGCCACTCACTGGTAGAAACAGGACTGTGAGGCTTTAGAAAGCACCACCACTCTCTTCAACCTAGGTACGGCCTCCGGAAATTACATGCAAGGAAAGTCATAACTCTGCCTCACCTTGATAATGCTCAACTGCATCCAAAAGGTTTTCACCCATGGTTGGTTGTCCTCCATCTCGTCTCATGGAGAAACTCCCAAAAATCTGAAGAATCTCCTGAGCTCAGAACCTCCAGTCAACCACAGACAAAGCAGCAGCAAAGAAAAACACTGCTAGAAAGCTATCCAATCTTTTTTTCTTTGGAAAAATAAAGTGCAGGAACACAGGCACCACTGCATTCATGGCATCCTCTTGGCAGAGCTACTACAGGATTAAGACGACCACTCCTTCTCTACTGTACATTGTTTAGAGATGGAGCAGAGGGAGGTGGGTCTGACACTAAGGACCACAGTTTCACTTGGAAATTACTTGAGGAGGAACTTACTTTCACAAACAAGGCTTTCAGGATGACAACGTATTAATGGTGTCTGTGCAAGGCAGTTACAGGACAACATGTTGCCTCCTGCAAATGCCTGCAGTTGAGGCAGCAGCAATTTGAGGAATAGCTGCTTTTCAAAAAGCTCCGTATCAAGCCTGTAGTGAAACTGTTCAGCACTGGAAGCCAGATGATACCTACTTCAAAGTAAATCCCCAAACCATGGAGAGATGAGGATCCTCAGCACCAGCCGACAGGGGTATAATCTCCTTATTCACTCTTACTGTACTGTGTTACTATAAGATTTACCGTTAATGTAGATTTGAGAGTTTCCACTGAAATGCATATAAAATTCAGAACTAAAGCCTTTACTATAGCAGGTGTTGAGGTACTGATGTTTCTTTGCTCTGTCTGCTGTAGGAAACCTCAAAACCCAGAGAAAAATAAAGATTATCAACTAAGGGAAATAATCAAATGAATAAAAATCCCAAAATCTTGTCCTAGAAAGATGGAATCACACTGTCAACAGCATAAAAACAACTGCTATGCTTTTTAAAAGTTCAAGTATGTTCTTTTCAGTTACACTAGAAACATTAATTTCATACCCATCATCAAGATTCATCAGAGTGTCCTAGGCTTGCCACAGGTTGCTGGCTATCATGGACAGCTTGGCTTGCTTTGGGGTTTCCCCTAAGTACTCCTCCTCTTCCACTCTCTCCTCCTGAAATGTTATCTTTAAAAAGGTAACACCTGTGGAATCCTTACATCAGTTCCACTGACTTTACACTGATGGAGTTGCCAGCACCACCTCAGAGAACTCATATTTTGTAAAAAACCTGAGATCAGAACCAGGACATGTTGTTTCACTTTCTCATCCACGCAATTCCTCAATAGCAGCATTGTGCACTTACATACCAGATGGCACCATAGATCCATGGCAAAGTTGTTCTTTTTCTCCCCTCCTTGTTAAGCTACTAACAAGAGATTCATTCAGAATGCAAAATACTGAGTCAGTTGACATTTTACTCCCCTCACTGCTTGAAGCCAAGAAGGGGCAGAGACTGGTTTTGGTATCACATGGATTTTCTGTATGCCTCAGTTTTGATTCTGACAAGAACAAACGGTACCTTTCAGTTACCATCCTCTCCCAGAAGTGAAGCTTCTCTTTAGGAAAACACGTGATTTCATAATGAGCTCCACAACTTTTTCAGAGTACTGCAGAAGGGCTGGCATGTTGCTTGGGAACTTGATAGACTGCAATAGCATACATTTGCTGTTTTACACACACGGATATGGACAGAAACTTTCCCTGCATCTCTTTCACCTTGCAAACTCCCATTGAGTTCACCTGGGATAACAGAAGAGAAACACTGAACCATTTGGCCAAATAAGCGAGTTTATGATCCTCACCAAAGTTGATTCTTCTTCCTCCCTTTATCTTTCACTCTGCAAAAAATGTATTGTTACAAACTTTAATGGGTCTAGCAAAAACACTTAGATCCTTCTGGTGCTAATCACAGAATTGCTGAGGTTGGAAGGGACCTCTGGATGTCACCTGGTCTAACCCCCTGCTGCAGCAGGGCCACCCAGTGCTGCCCAGAACCATGTCCAAATAGCTTTTGAATATCTCCAAAGATATAGGCTCCACAACCACTCTGAAGTGTTTCCTGATGTTCAGCTAGAGCCTCCTGTGTTTGTCTGTGGTCTTCATCACCTCTGGTCCTGTCACCGGGCACCACTATGGAAAAACACTTGAAAAAAGATCAGATTTTTACCATAATTACGCAAAACACACAAGCAGAAAAATGACCTGGCTCTACCCAGTCCTGCAGTTGCTAAGAATATTGATGTTAAGATTTTTCACCTGATTTTTGAAGGAAATGGATGTTGATCTCTCAAATCATCTGTTCTTTCCTATTCACTTTTGAGTCTGTCAGCCATTTTCAACCGCATTTAGAGTCAGGTTGACAGCTTCAAAGATAAGTAAAAACGTAAAAGTTTTAAGTTTACAGAATCACAGAATGGTTTGGGTTAGAAGGGATCTTAAAGCTCATCCAGTTCCAACCCCCCTGCCATGGGCAGGGACATCCTCCACTACACCAGGTTGCCCAAAGCCTCATCCAACCTGGCCTGGAACACTGCCAGGGATGGGGCAGCCACAGCTTCTCTGGGCAACCAGTTCCACTGCCTCACCACCCTCATTCTAAAAAATTTCTTCCTTATATCTATTTGAGGTCTCCCCTCTTTCAGTTTAAATCCATTGCCCCTTGTTCTACCACTACACACCCCTGTAAAAAGTCTCTCTCCAGCTTTCCTGTAGGCCCCCTTTAGGGAGTTTCAAACTTTAAAAGTCCTTCAAAGTTAAAAAAAACCCAAATTTGTGGCAGGATAGAGAGGCTCAAATTAATGATTCATTCAGAGAAATGACAAGCAGAACATGGTTCTTTTATCTTTTTTTTTTTTTTTTTTTTTTTTTTGGCAGTAATTAACACTGCTGGTTAGTTAGTTACTCTAACCAACATCACAGTACCCGGACCTCTGAATCAATCACAGACTGCCATTTCTTGCCTGGCGTTGTAAATGGAATTACTGCAGCATGAGCACAGGCAATTCACACAAATCCACAGGACACCAGGCTTTGTTAGCTCTGCAGCCCATGGAAAAGACTCTCTTTGCGTTGCAGCATTTGTTTACTAGTACAGAATTAAACTGTACTTGCCCTAATCAAAGACACTTCTATCACGATATAACAGCATCCGTGAGTTTTGCTCCAACTATACTGGTTTGCACAGTGTCATAACGGTGCAAAAAGTGTGCATAAACAAGGCTATAGTCAAACTCATGGGAAAACTCTGTTTACACCAGCCCTCTGTCACAAAATAATCAGCCCTAAATCAAAACACGTTTGAATTTAGAAGTAGTCTTTCTAGGAGCTTGTACTGATTAGGCAGGTAAAACGGTGTTGAGCCGTTTCTCAGAAGGTATGCAACAAATGAAGAAATAACAGATTTTTGAGCTGCTTATTAGGAGGGGAGGATGCAGACTGTAAGAAGAAAATGAAAAGTTGTCTCCTCCTTGCCTCTTTCATGCTAATTAATGCATTTAGAAGCTGTACTGAAAGGAATTTAAACTCGTGATAGTCATAAGAGAACAGATCAAAGAAGAAAAAAGCAGACCAAGTCAAGGAAAAGAAAGCTGCACATGCCTTTCAGTTAACAGACAGAATACAGGTCTGAAGGAGGTAAGATTTGTATTTTTTTTATTCTACCCAAAATTTTCCATGTTGCTACAAAATTATGCTTCAGAAGAGGCTTCAATGTCTGTCTCTAAGTGAACTCTGAAAATATTTTGTTTCCTTGGCTAGAATTCTCTTCAGTAAAGTCATTACACCTTAACTTTGTAAGGTAGATAGATTATCTGGATGTTGTCAAGAAGGATCTGTTTTTGTGCTGTTTAAAATGGCAGAAACATGACTACTTGTGAATTTCTTCTTCAACTATATTTGATTGATTAGATTTTTAACTGTTCAGACTGCTTTTAGCTGGATGACTACTCCCTTCAGACTGGAAATTAAGATTATAAAATAAATTCCCTGCATATCTAAGTATCGATTATCCGCAAACATAAATTAGTATCACCATCTGAAAAATCAACAGATCTCTGAGAGTTTATGCTGGTTGAAAACCTGACCCTAGAGCAAAGAGAAAAAAAGAAAAAAATACTTGTAAGGACAATATTAGTTTTTCTTCTTCTGAATAGTCATTCTTGTCCAGGTAAATTGCATTTCTATCTATATTCATGAGATGTTTTACTTCGGAAGTCTGCCATCACTTATTACCTAAAAAGACCACGTCAAATTCTTCTCTATTGCACTCAGGTGCAAATACCTTGATGTTAGTGAAGTTATTCGAGTGTAGATTATCGTTAGGGTTTTGAGTTTTGCCTTATATTGGGACAGTTGCTTAAGCATATGGATCTACTCGATTCTGAGGGTATCAGATTGTCCTGCTCCCTAAAATGCTCCCGTTGAAAGAAAAACGTTGATAATATTATGCTTTAGAGATAACAAATTATTTCTTGCACTGAGGCACTGTATTTCTATCCTGTAGCTCTGAGCGGGACCAAATTCACAAAATGCCCAGAAGAAACCATCATCCAGACAGCAACTTTTTCGGAGGGAAAGGACACAGCTATCTTGCAGCAGAAGAGTAAGCATAAAGCAAAACCTATGTTAGCATGTAAGCTGGTGAAAAAAAAATTTACATTGAAAGAAATGTACAAAACAGTACTAGAAAAAGTCACCATTGTATAGAGGTGGAGTGCATTTTAGCTATCCTGTAGTTGTCTCTAATGTTTATCATTGCAGAATCATAATGAGCTTATGGTTAAGAAAAATCAGAATTGCAGAATTCAAGAATCTAGAGTTTGATCATATGATCACAAGTCATTAACCTTTATAACAAAATTACCAGGCTTATTGAAGCTTATTTAGAATTTTCTTTTGAGGCTGTCGCAAGGTGATCTTTACACAAAGTTTTATCTCCAGATCCACATACCTCTCTTCAGAACCCCAAAGGGACATTGTCTCACCCTAAAGAATAATGTAAGTGAAAACCCCAAAGAAATGGTAAAATACTATCAAAAAGCAGACAGAAACATCAATGCCATACGAACATGACTCTCAGTAAATAGTTTCTGGGCGAGACTCCACTCAAAGCAGAACTAATTCAAGCTAATACTTTTTTGGTGTTGGCTTACAATAAAACACGTTGGGTCTCGGATTACTAGAGACACTGTCTCACTGGTGATGTGTTAGGACTTCAGACAAATACTGCCAATGTGCTTGGGGTGTCTGTGGTGGAACGTACTTCTGGCGCTAGTTTACTGGCCCCCAAACTCGGTGACTCGTCCTGCACACACATACACACTGCAAGATACCTGTTTCTCCATGTTCATCTCTCTGGGCAGAGAGAATAAAAAAAGGGGAAGGCCCTCTGATAGTCGTTCCAAAGCAGTTCAGTTCTCCAAAAGAGAAAGCTGGCTAGTCATGTCTCAGCACTGAAACTAAGCACACTCACCTCTGACTCCCGTGAATTCCAGTGGCTGCAACAGTAAGCAGTTTTTCTAGATATGTGAGGGGAAAGCGACCTCCCTCCTTCCAGTACCAGAAGGAGCATTCAAGATACAAGCACAGATTCCTCATAGCACATGCAACTTTTAACTGGAATTGCAAGAAATTGCATACACGCTTTTCATACTAGCCTCTGGATAGGTAGGGAAGGAGTTAGATGGCAAACATGCAGTTAAAATCACCAACTCCAGAAATGACATATATTCTGTGAGGGATACAGGCTACTGGACAGTTAAAACTACAGAGCACACAAAAAGCAGAAAGTAGTCTCAAAATTCCCTTGCTTGGAGAAGTAGTCTCTCCAAGTTTTAACTGTGCTGCAGACTTTGAGGATCAGCTGCAACACAGCTGCACCTGGAAGCAAGTGAAGGCCATGAGTTGTATTCCTGGGTTAAAGAGATCTCCAGGCAACATAAAATCTTGAAGGGACAAGAGGAGTTTGCAAGATTCAGGTGCTTGTGAAAAAGAAAATCCCTTTGGCTCCAAGGTGCTTCATTCTTTGAACAGCACATCGGCAGTTCGGACAAAAAGACAGCCTGTTCTGCCACAGGAATCTGTTGGCATCTTCTTTCAGGCTTCTTAGGTCACAAGGAAACACTCCTTCACAATGCTCTGAGTCAGTGAAAATGACAGAAAATAGAAATAAAAGGTCTCGGATAAGTCACATACCCCACTCCTCAGTCCCAATGGAAAAGCCTGGTGGTAATTGCGCAGGGCAACTGGATATAAGATATATTGAAGTATGTCAGAATGGGTTTATCCTGACTCACGTGGTCATTTTTTTTTCCTACCCTCTTTTCCCTTTGAGCATTTTACAGACTGCTGCTCCTGAACAGGCAAAGAACAAAAAAACGGGGAGTGTTCTCTGTATGTCCTAACAGGAAGGATGTTAGCACAGGAGGAAGGGGGTTTGTGGCTAGCAAAGCTTGCTTTCTGACAGACAGTGGAGCTGTGCTACTTCTCCCTACTTCCCAGTAAGCAGTGGGAAGGATCTCTTACAGCACAGTTTGCAGAGCCTACATTCCCTAAAATGACCTAGTGACACCAATACTGTGCCCAGTATGTCACAGAACAAGAACTAAAGAATTACAGAGCTCTTTATGAATAATTCAAAGTTTCTTACCTGGGTTTTGAGGTTGTGTAGTGTTTTATATATCCAAGAAATCCTTCTGTCACCAGCAGTTGTTGCAATATGATACAATTAGGATATATTTCTCAATACTTGCTGCCTACAGAAATTTAACAAATAAACATGAGCTGTGTCTCTGCAGCTTTACCGGCAGGGATTCATTTAGAAGCAGCAGTCACAAGTAGATTACCCTCAAAGCAACATATTCCTCATTTTTAAAATGCTTAAGAACTTGGCAGTTTATCTAACTGCTTAATCTACAGAGGCTGGCTGAAGTTATTGATACTTTTTTTTGTTTTCTGAGGTAAATTCTGCTCCACGCCTTGCTCTAATAAAAGGATACCGATACAAGCTTTTGTTCTATTCATTCTTGCTCCCAGAACAATGCATCTAGTGCTGGTGTTCATTATTTTGTTTTGTTTTCCCAACAGAGCTCTGGGTATTGGACTCTTCATTTTGGTGCTGGCGATTTTACTTCTCTTTGGCTGCTGGTATTACAAAAGACGCGGTGGCTATAAACGCCTGCGGGTAAGCGCGGCCGCTCTCCTTCTAGCACGCCGTTATTTTGACAACGCATGATTGTGACTTGCACATTAGTGGAGAGAACATTGAATCTGCAATAGGACATCATTGTCTCAGACAATATTATACACTGATATATCCACACAAGTAAAGCCACACAACATAAAACACGCTTTGCCCTGGATGACTTGCAAGTCAGGCAAAGAGGCAAGAAGCAGCGTAGGGAGATGAAGCCAGTTGTCCAACTTTGCACAACACATCGGTGGAAAAACTGATCTCTAGGAAGCATTACATTTAATATTTACACAAAACCAAGATGTCTTCTGCCTGTTTTCATTTAAAAAAACCCAACATATTCACCATTCATAAGACTTGCCCCAAAATAAGGACAGATACGATCAGAGTAAATCTAAGAAGCAAGGAAGAAAAATAGCTGTTACGAGTAAGTAAATATTTTGTTAATGTATGGGTGATGCATGATTCATTTGTATAAAAGTTGACTTGTAGCTTTAAGATTTACAAAAAAGCAGGGCAGGCTTGAGGTTTGCTTTCTAAGCACTACTTCTAAGAAATTCTATTAGATGTTTTGATATATTTTAAACATTTTTTAAAAGGTACAATCCCTCTCATAACATCTGTTGTTAGCAGTCTCAAAGCTTTATGTTTGAAGTTCTGCTCGCTCTCTCCTATGAAAGGGAGGCCGCTTTTAATCCTTTAATGTGAAAGCTCTATCCAATTTTATGTTTTATAGTAAATACCTTTCAGTTATCTTAGTATTTCAAAAAAGATATGACCATTTGGAATTAAAATATGTACATCTTAGATAAGTCAGCAAATCCATTTCCTTGCTGTTTCTGATAACTTTGTGCTGTTACCTTTCCAGTGATCTATCCAATGTATATAACAACTGGCAGAATACATAAAACATGAACTTTCATAATGAAGTATTACAAAAATGAAGGTAATACTAAAAAAAAAACACCTTCAAAGAGCAAACCAAAATTATTTCATGACTGTTTTGTACATCATGGCAAAAAGCACAATCTCTCTTTTAATTCCTCCTCATTGCAGATTGCTGCTTTCTGGTTTTGAAAATCAAACTTTTGTTAGGCTTTTTGGCTAGAGGAGAACTGGTACAGAATGTATACAAAAGAAATGGTGGGAAAATGGAAAAGAAAAAGGTTGGAGATTCAAGAAAGAAATGGGTGCTATAAAGAGGAGGCATCCAGGTACATGAGAAGGTGTCATTTCCTGCAGCAGTCCTGGACCTAAAGAATGTAATCCTCATTTTTCTGGCAACGTAACTGGATAACACAGGAGAGAGAGGTAATGTCTCAGCAAAAAGTGATGGGCAGAGAACCTCTCTTACATGGAGACATTATGTCTGGCCCTAATCCCAGATGCTAATACCTACAGTAAATGTGCTGTCAAACGTTAAATGATGCATAATTTGCTCCAAATTCACTTTCTCTTCTTCCTTTCATCTTCCCCGTACTTCTTCATGATCCGTCACAGAGCAAAAGCTCCAGCGTGGGCACGATACGAACCATGGTGGATGAGGGAGCAATGCTGGACTGCAAAATGGCTCTCCAGGAGTACAGAAACTTCAACTCTGTGGTAAGTTGCAACTTAAGGCTTCATTTACTTACAACATAGTAAGACATGGTGAGACAATCTTGGTAAAAAGCCACTTGTTGATGATTTCTTTCTTGAGGTACGCTCTCTAGATTGCGTCTTCAATGCCTCTACATTTTAAAACCTACTATTAAGTATTCTTCTTTTAAAAAATTCTCTTCTTTCACTTACCTTTATTCTTAAGTTGTACGATCATTATGCCCTCTATTAGAACGACGTAACGAACGACGTAACACCTGAATGCTAAATACACTTAATAAACAAACATCTCCCCAATAGATGTTCTGCCATTCTGACAAACAACAAGTGGACTGTGTCTGGTACACTATAGCCTGGCAAGGACTGTCAGGGACTGTTATGAAACTTCAAGGTTTTAGCTCCTCTAATCATTATGGAAAGATGAAAATTAAAATTTTAAAAAAGTTAAAATAACTTAATTGATAAATATATATGTCAAGTTATGGGTGTGCTTACATATTTTTAGAATAGAGAAAAGGCTAATTTACAACCTGTTTTAAATAAGCTGCCCAAATTCTTAACATTCGAAATAAGACAACGTATCTGCCTCAAGATTCTTAAAGAAACATTTCAGTATTAGTCTGACTTCTCAATATAAAAAATATCTTCCTTTTAAAATAACTTCTGTCCTTATAACACTGCAAACTCTCTCTTTGGATGAATGATACAAACAAAACGAATTTAATCTGATGCAAAACCTAAAAACTTATTAGCAAAACCTAACCTTAAAAAAAATAGACATAATGAATAACCTCAGCTATTTTAAGCTGTAGTACCATATCTGATACGAAGGTAAATACCTCGCTGTACCTTTAATGTAATTTTCTTGTACCTCAATTATTTTTTCAATCTTTCACACCCATTTTCCTTACCATAGGTACCTGATGCTCCACCAGCTTATGACATAATCGCTGCAGATCAGTCACCACCACCTTACTCACCATGATAACACGAAATCTTGAAGTCTATGAACATACAGATTCAATTTCTTCATTTTTCCTCTTAAGTTCCTGTACATGCTTAACTTTCTCAAAGCTAAAATCATTAAAAAAAATTTACATGCTTTCACTAGCAGTTGCTGAAAATTATTCCATCTTACTTTACAGAACTTGTTCTTGCAATGCCTCAATAAATCTGAATGTGCTTTGGTTTAAGCTTTTCATTTCCTGTGGTCAGACTAGTGCACTAGACTCAAGTCTGAGCACCTTGCATGCTTCATAGATCTACCAGGAGTAAGTACATACCACTGAGTATCAATCACAGTAGGAAGTGTTGGCACCTTTGTTTTCATCTTCCCCACTTACTGTAGCTTTCTTTAAAAAAGAAATAAATAAACTATTTCCTAGAATGTAATGTACAAGAATCTGTCATGAAACGGTCAAAACCATTTGACTACATGTCCTGTTACATGGACTAACCATTTTCCCTACCAGCAGCTCTACCAGCAGTTCTAAAATTAACCTGCAAAAAATGACTATGTTTTACAACAGGCTTTTACCTCATATCACTTGTTTATGTACCTGTAATGAAACAATTCCTCATAAAACACTACCCAGGCAACCAAGGAATTTCTGCTCAGAGTCCTTATTATTTCATACCAGTCAATGGGTATAATGAGGATCACCTTTAGTTTCCTTCTGGCAGTCTTGGGAGAAAGCAAAAGAACTTGGTAGATACAGAGCTTTACGTGTCATCTAACACAGTGAAACAGTATGAGAAATTGTGTGAAGCCCACGTTCCTTGAAGAACACACAAGATAGCAGACTTCAAGACGTTAATTTTTCGAAGTTGCCAGAACACTAGCTGTAACAGAAAAAAAAAATTGTGATACACATGACTTAGGCTACACACATTTGGCACTTATTGTTTACTTAGCCTCTTTTGTTATTGTTTACTTGCCAGATTATTACTTAGGATTATATGCAGATCAATAAATTTATACACAAGGTCTGATATCTCACAGCAGGAGGCAGCTAAAACTGCACAACACTTATTAAAAGTAGTTACAGAAGAAAATTATTTTCGTAAAACAATTATTAACTGCTATTAGTAAAGATCCATTTTGTCATTAAATATGCAAACACAAACACCTTAAAACAAAAAAAAAGAGTTTCAAATACAAGGTAGATTTACTTGACTAACTTAAACTCCATATATGGTGATAAATAATAAGACGTAGTTTTTTAGAAATGTTTCTTTTGTAATAAAAATGTTTATATAGATTAGTATATACTTGTTGGAACGTAATAAATACCTGTAATTGTTGAGAGGTTATAATCAATATATCTGTTTTTATAAATTTAGTTGACATTTGCATTTCGAAATTTAGACAGATAATTTAATCTAAAAAGCTGTCTTACATGTGTCATTTCCAATATACACCTTTAAGGAAAAAATTATGTGGACTCGTTTAGTGGCAGAAGGAAGAATACACAGGAAAATATACAAAATGCCAGCTTATAGCTAGTAAGTGCCAGAGATGTAGAACACAATGGCTGACTAAATTTTTGGCAGAACTGGTAAGCTTGAGCTTGAGGCTCATGATGTTCTGCAGCTCTGTACTCTGCACTCTCTACCCTGGGGCAACATCCTTTCAAAAGACTGTGTGGTGCCACAGTTGAATGGAACTGACATACACACTCATGGCTGAGAAAAAAATAATTTCTGTAAAGATTAATCACTACAAAGAAGCGAAGAGTGCTTAGAGTTCAAACAGCTTTACTTGTTCTCACACATTTTTCAGTAGGATCAGCATTAAATATGTTACTAGCTATTTCAAAAGCTTATGAGGAAGTTAATACTGACTAAGCAGAAACATTATTTTATTTCCAGAACTACGTAAATCCAAATTATTGGAACTGCTCAGCAGCCAGAGCTGGAATTATTGAACTTTGACACTAATTTATAGATACTTAAAGGATAGATAAGGCTTCTTGGAAACCTATCCTCTCTGTGAAAGCAGTATCTTTTCTTCATAGACATAGTTAGACAGTGTTCTCAGATTTTAATTAGTGCATGAAAATAAGAGCAAGAAATAGAGGTTCATAGAGAACTATATTATATAGGTGGAAGCTTCATCACTCATGCTAAACACCCTCACAAATTCAATTTTTCAAATCTGGCACTATACTCAACAAGGGTACACTGCAGAGGCTGGCTGCCAATCCATGACAAAACACCAGTACAGGACGGATCGAACTTGAAAGCGAGAGACCTGTAATTGCCAAAGCTGCATGCTGCAAGAGCTGGCTATGAGATGTCCTTTCTGTATCACACTCAATCACACTGCACATGACCAAAGACAAGCTAATACCTTCTAGGATGTCTGTCCCCTTAAGAAGAAAAGCATAGAACCTTCTCAGCTACCACATATGGTGAATGTGGCGTAGAGTTTTCAAATTTCCAGGAAAGGCTTTTCCATTAGACACTCATATGACCCCAGAGTAATAATTATGCTGCAATTAGATGCCTTGTATCACAACTAAAATTCTCAAAAAACGTGATCTTTGCACTCTATTTTCTCCCACCAAATGAGCAAATCAAGAAACCCATGGGATATTTGAGTTCTCCCCAGGATGCTGATGCAGAGAGGCAGCTGGTCACAGCTGGAGATTGAAGCTCTGCTTGCTACTGGTCTGCATTAAACTGCTTCCATCAGAAAAGCAGGCACACTGTTATTAAAACTCGTCTGTCCAAGATGATCCTAGCAACACCTCTGCAGCTACACACACTATGGCAACCAGTCATTATTACCCAGCTGGATTGAGTTGAGATAATGAACTAATTAAGTAATCAACTCAAGAGGCAGGCCATTTCCTCCTGGCTGCGGAAGATGCAACAGCGTCCTTGGTGCCGCAGCCCAGGCTGGTGAGCGACAACACACAACCCTTATTTAGATAAAATGAACAACTTGAAAGCCAGGCCTTTAATTAATATAGTGTGTTTTGGTCAGATCAGTAAATTACAATGGCACTAGCAGTTGCATTGTCTGTGCTTGGATTCCTGGTATGATCCTGCAGAATGATCTGCTTCCTAATGAGGTTACAAGCCTCAATGTAGCCTTAAAAGATTCCAGAATATTAGTCAGCCATCCTAGCCACTGCACGAAGGCAAAACGCAGCAGGTCCTGATGAGTGCAGTCTTCCTGACACACTGAACTGAGTGGCAAAACAGCCACTGGGCCAGGAGCCATCGGGGTAGATACCACGTATAAAACAAAGCATCAAGGACTTTCCACAGGAAGCACTTGGTTTCTGAAGAGTCTCACCAGTCCAGTGAGACAGGACTGGCATCTGCAGCTGGTTGCCAGGATAATCCGGTGACGTTCCCCTCCGTAATCTCTGTTGGCTTAACAGCTGCTGCAGCTGGGGCTGCAGACAGATTACCTTGGCCTCAAGAACTGTGTTAGTATTAACCACACGTTTCATGTCCTGATGGAACATACGTGGAAATCTGGGCTGGTCAAAGTTGCTTTAAGTTGTTTAAGACTGTACAGGAAATGGGGCAGGGTACTTTATGTGAAGCCACCGAGATGTTACACTTACAGAACACATCAAATGCTTTTTCACACAGTCAAGTGTGTTTCAGCTATTATAAAAAATACTGTTTTCTTCAGTTATTTCAATATTTCAGTGAAGCTAAAGGATTAATGAGAAGCATTCCCGATGCGTTTTCTCTAAGTACCAAGGGCCCTGGGCATTTTGTAGGCTGAGGCTGACTAATTTGGGTGAGAACTACTCTTTCAGATTGGATCCAATTACTGTTGTGGATTGGATCCTACTCTTTTGTAGAACGGTAATAATCTCACTATGTTGAAGAAATGGTGTAAAATCAGTCGTATGGGATACACCAGAGATAGGTGCAGTACTGGAGAGGACTTGTCGGTTATGCACATGGAAGATGGCTGTCGCTCCCACTGCGAGCTGCAGTTGTGACCACTCTGGTGGCAAACTGGTCCTAAGTCATCAGTTCTACGGAACCTGAAAGGTCACACCAGCGCGTTTAAGCCTTGTGATGGAAGTAAAGCCTGAAAACAATACTTCTGCTCTCTTCAGCTGTGATGAGAGCCCAGCTGAAGAACTGTAACAGCAAACAGATGTGGTTCAAAAAGACATGAGCCTGAATGAGATGGCAGAAAACAAGACGTCCAGTTGAAATTGCAAAAAAACCCAAACGCAAAATCTTTTAATCATTCCTGGTAGACCTCAGTCATTCCATAAGGGAGGACTGAAAGAATTAACGCTCTTAGTATAGCCAGGGGAAGACAGAAAGGAGATAAGTATCATTTTCTCGTGTCAAATTATATGTGTATGGCAAAAGGAACCCAATCAATAGCCATTCTCTCA